AAACCACCTAACAGGGCTTTTATCGTGGCGAAATGAGCAGGAATTAGATATATTTAAGGGGGAGGGAGAAAGAGACAGAAGACAGAGAGGGATGGAGAGAAAGAAGGATGGAGGGGGGAGGGGGGAGAGGGAGGGGGTGGGTGGGATAAAAATAGAACAACCATAATAACAAAGAGTCTCACAAATTTCTTAGGCATATCCCCCACAAATAGCAAAGAAAACATTAGATGATTGAATTATATTTTAGTGACACCATGTGGCTACATGCCAATTTGCTATCTGCTGAATTGAATTTCTTGTCATTGTGTAGGACAGATGAAACCTCATAAAGAAACATAATTCAGAAAGAAAATAGAGACCTTGTTGATTTACAATTTAAGAAGCACAACTAATAAATCAATAATCAAATCTAATAAAGTGGATTAGAGAATGAAGTTTGTCCAAATTTGCTTATTTTCTTGTATTGTCACACCGAAGTGCACATTGATCACCAATTTAGCACTTATTTTCTAAACCTAAAAACTTATCCAGAAGGATATATATCAGGGATGTCAAACTGGCAGCCCACAGGCCGGATGTGTCATGTACAGATCACGCCCACCCCAGCTCTGCGAATGGGAAACACATCATGAAACCTCACATGACCGCAACGTGATGTGGCTAGTTTGACACCCATGATATAATTAACACCTGAATTTTTAGCATACTGAGATTTATCTAGCATCTAAATTAACTTGCTTTACTATGCCAGCAATTTACCTCATTTTACACAGAGAAAAAAATAATATTACCATTGATACTATTACTACAGCTATTTTACATTTAGATTTGCAACAGTTTTTCTCTCCCTCCCAATTATTGTTCTATTTGGCTATGAGATTGATTTACTGTTTTATAAATGACAGGTAAAATTCTGCTGGTTTTTTGCTACAAGATAATCAGAAAACCCAAGAATGTTTTTAAAAAGACTATAGCACTTAATCATAATAATAAGATTTAAAAGGAAGTAAATGAATCCAAAATTATGACACGGTTCATACATCACATTAAGCTGTAAACCACTGTTTATCAACTACACTGCTGACTTTATGCATTTCAATTTAAAAAACAATCCCAAGCATTTTGAATTGTGAATATCCTGTAAAATCCTGTAAAATGAAGGATTTTTTTTAAAAAAATAGAACCCTACTATTTTAAATATAAAAATGGTCCAATTAATTATCTAATTCTAACATTCCATTTAAAACAACCTCAATGAGAATGTTTTAGTGAATTCTTAGGAATAAATGTTATACTTGCCCAGAGTTTCTTTAGCATAAGTAATTTCTATAAACCAAAGAAACACAGTTGCCCATAATAGACTCTTATGATTCATGCTGAAGGAAATCCATCAGCTAAAAACCCAAGAAAAATATTCCTGCTGTTACTCCACACATATTGCTAAGTGCTGCGTTGGAGAATGTTTCCTCCAATAAGTAAGCTTTAAAACTGCAGATTTATTAGGACTATTATAATAGTATTGAATTATTGTTTCTGTCTAATTTCCCTTTTATATGCATGTAGAAGAGTAAGGTTAAATTGAATCTTAAATTCTGTTTTTTTCCATATAAGTAAGATATCATTTATTAAATCTCATATTTTCATTTGCATAAGCGAATATATGGAGATTGGATTTCATTTTTATCAGAGAGTATTAGAGCACAATACAGTCCCTTCTCTAAGTTTGTCCTGTGCATTGGCACTTGGAGGAAAAAACCCAATACAATGACTATTAGCAAATGACAAATACACATAACACATGTATAACCATAAGCAAATAGCTTGGTCTAGTGCAAGGCTCTGCTAAAATACATTCCGCATACAGTATAACAAGAGAATTAATATCTTAGAAAACTTTTTTGGATTTCTCAAAACGGTACTAAAAATCAATTTTGCACTATTAAAATGCATTGCAAATAATCCAGCAAAAGATTTATTGAGCAGATTAAATCAGTTTGTGTTTATTGTAAATATTCTAGAATTCATTTAAAAAGTAATAAATTATCGATTTGTTTATTATGTGAAACAATACCTTGTAAAATTTCTTTAGCATCACAATAATATTTTATTATTGGAAACTCAGTTAAGAAGTTAGGAAAAGACACAAAACAATTGCCTAAAAGCAAAGAAACTTCAATGAAATCAAGGACAAGCAATGGTTCCTTGTTGTTTCCAAGACACTATGAAATTGAACTAATTATGATACCCTCAGGAATACTGTACTGAGGTTATTTTTATCTAACTGTTTCTTAGTATATATGACTCATATTTACATACAAATTAAGATGTCATGCTTAGTGAGAATTTAATGCAACCTTGTATTTAACTTCTCACCTAGCATCATGAACTCCAGGCAAACAAGTCCATCCAGCAGAATGAGCAAGACTGAGATGCAAAAAATATATCTATTTTTATCTATTTCAATTAATATTTTTACTGACCTACATCATTAGCCTCTTAATAGTGTTATAAATAATAAATAATATATATGGGTTTATTTTTTAGTCCATCTGATTACAAATAGCTCTTTAACGGTGTTTAACAATCAGTATTTCCAGTGCTATAAAAATACGTTCCCAATATCAAATATAGTTTTGCTGCATTTAAAAGAGCAAACAGATATAAATGAACATAGATATCTTACAATTCCTTTTCTATTCTATCTGTCCATTCTCCTTTATTCCTTCTAAACTACCCTAACATCCATTTGCATAGCTTCTATCACAGACATCTTCAGCAATTCCAAAGCAGCAGCTATGGCTAGAATGAAAGGCCCTTGAATAAATAAAAAGTACTGTATCTTTTGCAGTATAAGATGCACTCCCCCCCCCAAAAAAAAAGTGGGTGGAAATGTCTGTTCATCTTATAAAGCGAATATTGCTGAAGCCCCGCCCACCCACCCCCCTCTTCGGCCTATGCCTCCCAGCAATTTGCCTCCTTGCAGCAAACAGCAAACAGCCTAGTCAGCTTTAGCACAACCTGATTAGCACAAGGAGCTGATTGTCTATAGGATCGGCCCCCCGACAATCAGCTGTTTCAGGCTGCAGGGATTGCCATAGCCTGTTGCTGCCTCCATGTGCCCCATTTTCAGCCTCTACATCCCATTTTCGGCCTGTTCCAATCCCCGCCGCCCAGAACTGGCCAAAAATGGGGTGCGCAGAGGCTGAAAATGGGATGCAGAGGCCAAAAATGGGCGCACGGAGGCAGCAATAGGCAATAGCAATCCCTGCAGCCTGAAACAGCTGATCGTTGGGAGGCCGATCCTACTGACAATCAGCTGCTTGTGCTAATCAGGCTGTGCTGAAACTGACCAGGCTGTTTGCTGTTTGCTGCAAGGAGGCAAATTGCTGGGGAGGCAGAGGCAGATTTTTTTTTCTTGTTTTCTGTCAGCCTTCAAGAATCTGTCTTCTACCTGTCTTTCTGGCTGCCATAGAAATGGGGGCGGGGGGAAGGAAGGTTACATTAGGCTTGGGAGGGGAGTGTGCTGGAGGCTTAAGTTGGTAAAACTTGGGAAAGCTTTCTTGTTTATGCTTACTTGCTTACTGCACAGCTGCAGCTATCTATCTATCTAGGCCAAAGTCAATGGCCAGAAGTCTGCCTGAAGATGCCCCACATGACATTAAAAACATCTCAGATTAGATGCCCAGTTTGAACTATTATGGATAGGAACATTACCATAACTTTGTATATGTGATTCTCATGCCTAATTTCTCAGATCGTGCAATACTTTGACGCTACCACTTGATTTCCAGTAAAAGTCCTTTTCTCTATTAACAATGGAGACCTCTTTCTTGGAAATCTTCTTTCTTGGATTTTAAATGGAGAACAGCTTGGCATTTTCCTCCCCAAAAGCTAGGTGTGCCTTATACTTAGAAGCATCTTATACTCCAAAAAATACAGTATATCTATATGTGGATTTGGGAAAGGATATTTCCCCATGAAATAATCCTCCATCTCCTTTGTGATAAAGTTGTGGCCTATTTTCTTCCAATTTCCAAAACTGCACTTGACAGTGGGACTGTGAAACTACATATTCTTGCCATCCTCCGACTATTCCCAACATTTGGATATCACCAGAAATACACCCAACTATTCAGGTCCAAGGATTATTCTTTTTTGTTAACATCTTATGTTTAGTTAGACCCATTCATCGTTTCCTATCCTTTCCACATATTTTAATAGAATAATAGAATACCTTTATTGTCATTGCATTCCACAAATACAATGAAATTTGAAAGCTACTCCAGCACAGTGCCCCAAACACCACATCACAATCACACTACAGAGTATTTAATAATAATAATAATAATAATAATAATAATAATAATAATAATAATAGGATTAAATCACAAATGCACTGTTTGATTCAAGACAATTACTGCCATAAGAAATATCAAATGCCATAAGAAATATGAACAATCATATTCCAAGTTAAGGTCAGTTCAACTCCCCTTTTCCTACCATAGTTCCCGCATTTATATCTGACACATAAATCAACTTCATGGCATTGCTATGTTGAGTATTCACTAACCCCATTCATAACATCTCAGGATTTTTCTCCATTACTGTCCACTTCCATTCTCGAAATAGCAAAATATAAAATAGTATGCAGCGAAACAGCCCATTGCTGCTTTTAAACTAGTGTACTAGATACTGGTGATTTTTTATTTTATTATAATATTTAATTTATAAAAAAACCAAATGCAACAATTAGTTACCATATTTTATAAGATTGTTTCTAAAAGCTACTTTTATTAACATTTCAGCTACTTTTATTAACATTTTATCAGCAGCTTGAACCACTATCTTAAAATTATTTCAATATATCTACTCAAATGTTAGTTTACTTTATTCTAATATGTACTGGACTAACCATTGTAGCTAATTCTAATCAATTAAAATAAAACAATTTATTTCAATATTAAAATAATATGGAATCAAAATAGTCACATCACACTAACCTGCAGACACGGGCAGGAAAATACAGTTTCTGCCAAGATCGACATAGATATTTTGAATGATCAATTACGCGAATCCAGTCTAGTTCATCCATGGATACCTCAATATAATAGGAGTATGACCTTTAAAGATCAAATAAATTAAAAATATTGCCGTTATCTATCTAAAAATTTCACACAATATTTTAAACACTCTGGGGATCACTATGTTACATTCAATTTTAGACCAAAAAAATCTATATTTAGGCCAAATGAGCTAATCTTGCTTCCTTCTGTCTCTGTAATTCCTTACAAAGATCCAAAATATATTCAACAGTTCTGAGAAAGGGGATGAACAATCTTATTAACCCATCAATTTTATGAGGCAAGATAAAGTTAAGTATATAACAAATCCACCTCAGTTTCAGGTAAATGCAAATATTTAACACACTTAAGATACAAAAGAATATATTCTCTGAGTTTTTAGTTTTAAAATTTAAACTTAACCAGAAAAGTTGTACATAAAATATCAATAGGAACCTGAAAACATTTAGTAGATGATAGACATCATTAAATAGCTTGAGCATGTGGATGTGTTATAACTCACTTTCCCATAATTTTTATTTGGCATTTACTGTATTTTATCAACAACTGTATCTATTTAAAACATTTTTATACTACTTGACTTCTATAAACAGTTCAGAAGGCACACAAAACTACAAGTATAAATCTTTTCCTGCCCTTTTTAAGGCAATATTAACTTGTGGTGACTAACCCTGACTCGTCCCTGCAAGTTTTTTCACAATATTTTTCAGAAGTTGTTTACCACTGCCTCTTCCCTAGGGTTGAGAGAAAAGTTCACCCAGTTGGCTTTGTGCCTAAAGCAGAACTAGAACTCACAGTCTCCCTGTTTTTTACCTGGTGCCTTAATCACTACACCAAACTGATGCTCATAAAGCAAAATAGGGAATTATTAGTGTTAATAAAAGTATCTAAAACAGTATTTTTTATAAAAGCAGCAGTGAAAGTAGGCATTTAAAAGACTCTCAAATCAAATCTTTATTATGGTTAAAAACCAACATAATTAAAACACTTTTAGAACTTGTGTAACAAAATATAAATATCATTTTTTAAAATAACTGAATATTCCCATTTATTTTTACCAAGTCTTTATCTTTCATTATGCTATTTCATTTTAATGATTTTATGTACTTGAAATCACTCCCAATCAGATAAATTTTCTTCAGTTGAATTTCTTAGTGTCAGCTGAAGTTCTCAGAGTCTGAAGATAATAAAATGATCATATTCTCAAGCTCATTTCATCTTCCTTTTTTTAAGGCCAAGAATAAAAAACAAAAAGACTTAGAACCTACCTGCTATCTCGATCCCATAGTAATATTCGTATGTGATTGATTATTGATGGCTGACCCAATTTAATTTCAATACCAGAACGGCAATCATCATCAATAGGATGTCGGGAAAATCCATGGTCTAGATCATAGTTCTGTGTGTCTCCATCTAATAAGGCAGATTTCAATTCCCCTTTAACCACTTGGGCTCCATATTTCATAGTGGCAATGTTCTCACCTGGTACTGGAAAGAACAGCAATGAAAGTGGTTTAATCTTTCTTTCTGGCACATTTCCAATTGATTGATAAAATACATTATCTCTTCTCCGTGACTATTGTTAAAACACTGAAACTTTCAATAAATACTAAACAAGAAAGCAATAAGATAGTCATGATAACCAAAGCCTGACTGATTAAGACTTGGCTCTGCAAGTTGTTCTGGGGAACCTAATGAGGGAATTTGATTCTGGAGGTGGCTGCTAGATTGACAGCAGACACTAAATTCCCTCCCTTGCCATGGTGGCGCAGTGGTTAAAATGCAGTGCTGCCAACTAACCTACTGTTCACTCCAGGAGTTCGATTCTGAATGGCTAAAGGTTGTCTCAGCCTTCCATCCTTCTGAGATTGGTAAAATGAGGACCCAGATTGTTGGGGGCAAAATGCTGACTCTGTAGAAGGGCTGTAAAGCACTATGAACTGGTATATCAGTCTATGTACTAGTACTAGTGCTTGCTTTCTGCTCCTCACTTGCTCATCTTTTTACTACCCATATCAATCTACTGTCTTTTACATTTTCATCGTTTATTTTATTGTTATTATTTTACTTTCATTTTGTTTAAACTTCCTTTTTATTTCCTTGTTTTTTTATTGTTGTAAAGTAGCCTCACGGTAAGATAAGCTGCAAATAAATTTAATAATAATATTTTGATCATGTTAGAAACCTCTAATACTTTGAATAATTATAAAATGCATAAAATGCTAATTCCTGAGAAATTAATAGAAACAACCCCTTTATAAAAACATTCTAATAAAGGAACACGGAATATGGGAACAGAAAAAACCCAAGAATAAAAATTTACAGCTAGTTACTTTAATGAAATTTAGAATTATGAAATATTCAACATGAATTCATTGTTTGAATTTTTGCAGAAAAATGATGGCTACATCTCAAAATTCCATAAATAGAAGATCAGTCAAACTAATATTTACCTCTCCACCCATTTCCTTGTGACTTTATATAAGTTATATCATAAAAAGAAAACAAAACTAGTTCACAAAATACTCCCCTAATTCCTATGACACATACTCCATGCAGTAGACTCCCAACCCACTTAAGAATAGGATTATTTATAAAAATAGTTTTTCATTGACTCAACCTTTAAATATCAAGAAACAAAGAAAAAATATTTTGCTATTTCACTGGTTTACTGAGGATTAGATGAATTAGGACCAGGCAATATAATTAGCATATACAATCAGTTATTATAGGCTATATATTTCTGCTGGTTTAATAGCAACAGTTGGCTAACAACATTTTTAAAATTAAAATCTTTTTAATTAAAAAGAAATTAAACTAAAAGAAATAAAAAGAAATGTATAAAATCTTCCTTTTCAATATCAAAATACTTACTTAACATGCCCCTATAGTTGAGGTCCATGTCCCGACTTTCAGATCGAACCTTAATGGCATCCAAAATAGCATCAGGAGATAGCAATCCCGAAGGTCTTACGACATTTAAAAGCTCTGTCAAGCTCATCAATGGCAAGCGCACTGCCTTCATGATTTCAGCATGATTTTCCTTAGGATTGTGTTTACACCAGTTCATCAATGCTTGAAAAATGTCCTTCTCAGGAGCTGCAAATGAATCCCTCAGTACAATACTGAGAAGCGCTGGCTGAAAAGTAAAAAGAAATGGCAGTAATATAAGATTGCTCAGTCAGCTCCAAGTAAAACTATACTATTTGAATTCTACAAGCTCTTCATTGTGAGCTAATAAATTCTGTTGACAATAAACGTTTGCTTATAAAAACATCCCACATATCCGCATAAAATTTTTATCCTTCCGACATAAAAGCAATATTAGTAGCAGTTCTTTACTAACCACTTTCAGGTATCTGAAGCTAGAGGAGAATATTCATTTCTATGATATAAATTATGTTATTCAATACAATCCTATTAATAAAATTAATAAACAAAATTAACTTGGAGCAAAACTGTTCCCATGGCCCATTATTGAAACTTATTTTTGTTTTGTGAAGATGCTTTTTACTATAATGTGGGTTCCTTTTGGTTTTGTTTATATTATTTTTTCGAATCCAGAATCCTCCAGGATGGGGCAGATTATAAGTACATATTGATACTTCTAATTAACTATTACAGAATTTCATGCAAGCACAGAAACTTTAACCTCCTGAACACAGAGCTTTTTCAAGAAGCATCTTCCTAGTTTCAATACATTTCAGAGAAGGAAATATTAAGAACTGAGGAATAATTGTGATTGAAAAATGGAACAATTCAGGTAGAATACATTTCAGGAATGACTGATTATTGAAAAGGCTTATGCAGGAAAATGAAAGCAAAATTATTGCTGAATACCATCTGGTCCACTGAAAGATAAACATTTGGAAAATAGTTTTAAATTCTATTTCAACCATTTCAACCATATTTTCCTAATATATATTTTAAAAAACCTTTAAAAACCCTAAATTGTTGACATACCTTGGAAAGAGACAGAAAGCCTTCACTGGAAAGTACCTCTTGAGCATTTCTGTCCATAAATATGAAGCACATACATGTCAATTTAGGTAGTGAGTAGAGATTAGCAACGTCATAGGTCATGCAAACATTCTGAATGTTAAGAATGGTGCAAAGGTATTCAGAGGTGGAATCCTCCAGTTCTGGAAACCCATATTTATGTGCTAAACTCAAAAAATCTAACAGGACTTCTTCTTTCTCATCTCTTAATGTGGCACGACCTGTATAAATATATTTCAATAACATTGTAAAGGCCTCTGCTGTGGTATCGTGGAGAGGGATTTCTGCTTCAGGCTGAGATTCACGCATTCCACCATATAATAAGGCTCTGTTCAAATGTAGAGAAAGAATAAAAATGATTAAAATTTATATTTGATAAAATCATGCAAACTCTAAAACAAAAAGAATGAAGTAACACAAATTCCAAAATTTCCAAAACCTCCAAGTGATACTTTAATCGCTGTAAAATCATCACACTTAATTCTTAAGATAAATATTGTAGTATTTTGTTTGGATTTGAGGCTATTGACAGCTTGTATCAAGCAGTTAAAAATTACTTGCAATTGATACCTGGATGCAGTTATATACTGTTTTAACATACAGAGACTATATGCAGCAGATTTTGCATTAGAAACAAGGAACAAGACAAGATTGAACACTATGCTAGCGAAAGGAACTCTGCAGTATTTGTCCTCTCTGTTCCCTCCTTCCCCTGAAGGCCTGTAGCCTTTGAGGAATGGTTATTCAAAGGTTTGGAGGAGTTTCCCAAATAGAATATGTAATCTGGGAAGTTGAGGAAAAAATTAAATTCCTTGGAAATGGGTAAAATTACCCATCACAGACAGTCCATTTGCTCTAGATTTGGGGATAATTTGGGGGACTATTTTTACAAATTTTGAAATCATTACTATTACATTTTCTTCAAAAATATTACCCAACAGTATAAGTATTATAAAAAATTATATATGCTGCAGGAAAAAATTAAATTGGTCCATAATAAACTATGTACTTAAAAAGTTTAAAAAAAAACCTAAATAACAGGAAAAAGATAACAGAATTAAAGGGCAAAAGAACAATAATACCAAACTGTCTTCCTCTTCAGTTTTTAATATCAGATCTCAACCAGAAACTAATTTTATGAGATTCTTGCATTTCGAAGAGTTGGGGACAAAGAGGTAACATGGAAAATTTCATAATCTGCTTCACAGCATTAACTCCTGTTTTGTTAAAGCCGTTTTTGCTGGAAACAGTTGTATGATTATTCTGAATTTCAATCCTCCTTAAATGTAGCCTATTAGTTTGAGATACTTATGTAATAGTATAACCGTGCAACGTACATCCATTTTTTTATATTTAAAAAAGGCATTGTTGGACAGATATCAGATTATTTCTTAATGGCTTTTTATTTCATCTTGGTTACCCCAAAACTCAAAGTACATCTGATAGGACACTATACTTCACCTGAAATACTGACACCTCGCAGCCAGAATCACTCTGTGTGCAGGAAAACGTTTCTTTTCCACTATAAACGTAACATCACTATATTCCTCCCCATTCATCAGAACACCAACATGATCGGACAGAATGTGAACGTGATCTATTTCACCTACTGCTGTGTAAGGTCGGAGCGGATGACTGTTGCTCATGTTGTACAAGAAATGTTTATGCTACACCTAAAAAATACAGCATAAGAATAATGAAGAAAATCATCATAAATGTTAAATTGAACATAACATATTTGTAAAGGTACTAGACTAGGACCCAGAATTAATCCACTAACTTGCCAAGGAAGCTAACTGGGTGACCTTAGGCCAGTCTTTTTCTTACAGCTCAATCTATTTCACAATGTTCTTGTGGGAAAAGAAATCAAAAATATATATGCATATTTATGCATATATGCATAAAAATATATTGCCCTATTTCTTAGCGATTCAGAGAGACTTACAATTAAGAAAGTAGCAACTTCTATAGAAAAAAAACAAAACTCATTAACTTAGTAGCAGTAAAATAACTAAACTTAATTGCCCTATCCTAAGGCCTGGGAAAACAAATACTTCAATCATTTTTTCAATGTAATTTCATACATAGCAGACATCAACAAAATGCAGCAATATTTTCATCAAATCATTGCTACAACTGTTATGTTGATATATAAACCATATAAAGAGACCCTTCTAAAAATTAAAATAAACCAAATAATTATGTTATAGTACTTGCTCAATTGTATACTCTCTACAAGTTAAAACTGATTCTGTAACCACAGCAGATCAGTTAGGCCCTATATAGAAGCACTCAAATCAACTACTGAAAGCTGTAACAGAACCTTTTATGCATAATTAGCGAGAATATGAATATTTATGAATTCTTCTCCCCAGAGTCTAATTAATTATCTGAAATGGAGATAAGAGTGATTTTAATTATTAATATTAGAAAATTTTCCTAAGAAATAAGTTTAATCAAGGCAAAATTAACTATTCACTTACTGTAAAACTCTAGTTGGATACAATCTCAGAGGATACAGACTTCACAGAAAATGAAAATTCAACTATTTATAGTCTAACACAGTAGTTGCCAACTAGTGGGCCGAGGACCACTGGTGGTTCCCGAGAAAATTTTGGTGGTCCACAGAGAAATGTCACCCCCAAAGCACTCCCCAAAGCAATTAATCCAGGCTGCGTGGGAACACAAGACTGTGCCACCCACATGGCCCGCTGGAACACAAGGCTTGCATCGCTTGCACTGTGAACAACATGAGGTAGTGAGGGGAGGGAGGAAAGGGCAGAGGGGTGAAACTTGCCCCACTCGCCCCACATGCCTCGCCTGGCCACTGGGCTGCTTCTTTCCACTTCTTTCTTCTTCTGCTCAAGGAAAGCAGCAAAAGTCTTTCTCTCCCCCAAACTCTGCCAGAAATGAGTCTTTGGGACCCTGCAAGGCATCCTGCTCCAAGAGGCTGCGCCAGCGTGAGAAGTCTCACAAAGGCTCATTTCTGGCAGAATTTGGTAGAGAGAAAGACTGTTGCTTCTGCTGCTTTCCTTGCATGAAGCCAAAAGTCTCTCCCCCCCCCCCCCCCCGGAGAACGGAGCTGGAGACGGTATCCTGTGATCGATCAGTAGGAAAACGGGGTGGGGAATTTTCCTGCAGACTTTTTTGGGGATTTTCCCAGGGTCTCTGGTCCACGGGATTTAAAATTATGAGTTTGGTGGTCCCTGAGTGTTGTGGTTAGCTGGCAGCAGGTGCAGACAGGGGAGGAGAGCAAGGATTCGGAGGAGGGGGCTGGGACCATCAGGGAGTGGACTGCTGCCTTCAGAGAATGGTGGGGGTTGGCAGCAGTGACGAGGAGGTTTCAGAAGAACCTGTGCTCAGTGCAGGTGAGCGCAGGATGCTTTGTAGGAGGAAACAGCTGAAGCTGCATAGACGACTCAGGAGTAAGGAGGCAATGTAATGGCCCTTCCCTCTAGGGAATATAAGCTTGGTTGCAAATGGTTTTTGCCTTTGCAGAAGGCAAAAAGCGTTGGAAGGGTTAAGTGTGATGATAACAGACTTTGATTTATTTGAAGGTTTTTCTAATTGGATTACTTGGCTGCAAGCCATTTGGTAACCACAAAGAGGTATTTGTGGAATAAAGCCATGAATGTTTCAGTTTTGGAGTTTATTTGTGTTTGCTTTCAGAAACTTTGGCTGGGTCAGAACACTGAGGTCCAAAAGGTTGGCGACCCTGGTCTAACAAACCTCTGAAAGGAATGCAACTAGCCCTCCATTTATGAAAACAATTGGGACAGGAATTCTGGTCATTATGCAATGTGATCTTAAGTGATTCTTCAGATAATCAGACCCAATTTTACAACCATTTTACCATAGTCATCAAGCAAATCACATGGTCATTAAGTAAATCTGTCTTTATTGACTTTGCTTTATTGGAAGTCAGTTGGGAAAATACCAGATCATGTTCAAGTGTCTGCAGAATATTTTAACTGCTGTAAATGCAAACCAGCTGCCAAGTACCTAAATCACAATCACATGACCATGGACTGGTGTGATGGTCATAACTTCTAGAATATATCATGTCACTATTTTCAGCACTGTCATAACTTTGATCTGTTGTTAAATGAATATCATAACTCAAGGACCATTATAGTACATGATATTTGCAAAACATACACTTTTGCCTTTTTTCCCCATTCATGTTATTATACAGTATGTAGCTTGAAGTTACTTTCCCCCCCCCCCCCGCAACTCCTATTTTGGGGGGGAGGGAAATAAAGCTTTGCGCACATTTAAAAACAACTTGTACTTTCAGTAAGAGGTTCTTATCAAAGTAGAGTGAAATGTTGTTTTCTGAAAAGTAGTTCCTTCTGTATGACACAAAATGTAAAACAAACAAAAACCGAGCAACAAAAAATCAAAACATGATTTTTAAAATCCTTTTGACCTTCAAAAACCATTGATAACTTTTATAGCTTTTTCACAACTTTTTAATGAAGCTGTAATGCAGGTCACAGACAAATTCTACCTACTTTCCTTGTCAAGGAGGAGAGGGGAAAGTGTTAAATTGAGAGTTATATAGGGGGTCAAACTATTCTCCAAAGCACCTGAAGGCAGAAGCAGCAGCAATGGATGGAAATTAACCAAGGAGAAACCAATCCAGAAATAGGAAGAAGTTTCTTCACAGTTAGATCAGTGCAATGGCTTGCTATCAGAAGTTCTGGATGCTCCGTGACTGGAGGTTTTTAAGAAGAGACTGGACAACCATTTGTATGAAATGGTAAAATACAGGGTCTCCTGCTTGAGCAGAGAGTTGGACTAGAAGACCTGTTAGGTCCCTTCCAACTCTGTTATTGTGTTACTTTGTCAAATATATGGAACAATATTAAATGTTTCAGGCAGCAGAGCAGTCAACTAGATTAGTAATTCTTCCTTCTGCAGCCCCTTTAATGTCCACAAAACCTGCTCTGGATGTTGGACTATTCTTTGGAGCAGATACATAAGCTAGAATCTCTGGCCACAGACAATAGATGACAGATAATTTGTATGGGGAAAAAAACCTGCACTCTCATGTGGGAAGTCAAGATACTACATGCAGTTCCCTCATAATTTTTTCTCATAACCCTATGAGATAGATTAAGCTGATGTGTGTTTTGAAAAGCAGAAAGGAAAAGAAAATCTGTTCAAAAGGTTCTATCAAAGGATAGATACCCCCTTTTAGATACTCCATACTTTTGACTGGTTGGTTAAGTAAGAGTTACCCTCATTTACCAAGAACAAATGACTGAAACATGTTTTGTGATGTCACAGGGCAAACCCATAAAACATCAAGTAACAAATTTGAAAGGCCTGAGTTTGCATTATGACAGTGAGGTACATGTTGTCACTTTTTCATCAGTGCATTTTGTACATGTTTATGCCAGCGAGCATCATAGTTGGGTGAGTATTTAAAGGCGGATCTGACTTCAATCATTACATTGGCACAAACTTTAGCATATTTAAAAAAAAGAAAAGAAAATAAGAGATAAAGACTAGAGTTTTACATGTACCATACACAACATCAACAGCATTAACCGTACATACATATTTAGAAACCCAACTGAGTTAAACAAGGTGGATGAGAGTTGCAGTCTAAGAATCTAATGGAAGACTTTTCATAAGGCTGATCAGAAATTTTGGGGACAAGGGCAATGTAGTTTCAACATTACTGAACTATCACTAATTACTCTATTTAGAATGGTTTTCCCAAGCTTGTGTTTTGGCGGTTGGAGGGGTGTAATTATGTTCTGGTCAACTTAATTAAACATACGACCCTGGCACATGAACGGCCTTATGTTGCACTTTAGCTTTTATTTTACCAAGGTTTGCATGCAAACCCAGTAATAACTAAAAAAAAAACCCGGGATTTTGCATTCCGAAGGATAGACTTAAAGGCCCAGGTACGTAAAGGGCGTCAATTGCACACAACGCCCCACTTCTACCAAGACCTCAATTCCAGACGTACGCTTTCATGATGGAATGAACGAAGCCCCATCGCCACTTTGCAACCCCCAGGAAAACCGGACGCGAAAAACCTGCTGCACATCCCGAGGCGGAGCCCTTGAGGGAAAGGGGGGAAAAAAGAAGAAGAAGAAGAAGAAGCTCGCAACGACCCCTTCGCGATACCCATCGGGTGCCCTTTGCCTGCCATGAAATAACCTCGCCGAGTGGCTAAGAAATGCTCAGGGCCGCGGGGTTACCCGGCAAGGAAGGGCGAACCGATATTAACGGCCTTGGCTGCTTGCAGCCTGCGCAAGGCCCTACGAGCGAGCGCGTGGGGGCGGGGGGGGGGAACACCCAGGGAACTCCCCCCCCCCCCCCCCCCAGCCCTTTCGCCACCAGACTTACCGGTGGAGCGCTGGAGCAGGACACCCCCCTCCCTCCTCTGCCGGCCGTGGCGTTCAGGCGTCGCCGCGAGCACTGACGTCACCCTGGCAACGCCAGCGCTCGGCGCGTCGACGTCATCGCGACGGAAACGAAAGCGAGACTCTGACGTTGCTGGATTACACATTTTTGTACATTGTCCCTTTTTGGAGTCTGGTACGGTAATTTCCAGGGAAAGAAAAGGGAAGAAAAAAAAAGCCACCCCTCGTTTAACCTATCTCCCCTTGGAAATATTTGCTCCTTTAAAATCAATGGAGAAATTGCAAAGCTGAAATTCAAGCCAAGCGGACGGGCGCCAGCGTGAGCGGTCAAAACATTTATTTATTTTATTTTATTTATTTATTTGATTTGCCAATTGTTAATCTTACATAATCTTACTTGTTTGAACTGCGACGAAAATTAAGAAAAAGAAATTTGAGATTTATTTCAATATTTCATTTTTATTTTTTTTTGTTAAACGGGACCGTAGTTTATACTATCCGACCCGATTCAACTTGTTTTCGGCATTAGCCCATTGCTACTAAGAAAGATCAGTCGCGCTTTCCTTTTTTTGGATACAACCCTCAAAAGGAGTTTCTTTCACAACATACCTTATAGGGAGGGTCACACTGGTTTAGGATACATAGGCACGGTCTTAAAAGTCTAGATTAGCACGGAGTCAGAGAAAATAAGTCTTTCTCCCTGACCATCAGCCTTCTGAATCCTTGCTTCCAGCTATAGTTTGCAATTTCCCTGCCCAGTAAAAGGTAGATAAACTACTTTCCTCCTAGTAATATCCTTTGCATTAAGCAAACTCGAATAGTGACATTAAAAAAAAATCCTTGCAAATGTGACACAGCATAATCTCGTAGCCCTTTTTATGCCATAATGCAGTGAAAACTGAGCTTTCATTCCTTCATTGATATAGGGTTCAGAATGCAGCAACGTTTATAGGATGAAAACCGCACTTACGTATACAAGAGATACTTCTATTACTAACCTTTTTATTTCTGTAGCCTCCAATTATGGTTGATTGCACAGTCTGCCAGATTGTCACAAGTCAGTCAGACTGGATTTGGTATTTTTATTTACCTATCAAGCCCTTCTCAAGGACCCAAGTAGATGTTTGATGATATTAAAGGCACTGTTACAGGATGCAAGGCGTGTAAAGGTGCTTTTTGCAAATGACCAATGATGATTTTGTCAATGCCAGTAGAGTTCAATTGGTGTTTTGGGATTGCAACCAAGGCACATATTGCTATTGGTACTCTTTGTTTTTTTCACCACAGTCATTCTACTTCTATTTGCAGATCTTTGTATTTTATGATTATCGAAGAAATACAAAGACAGCTGATCCCCTAAAAACTGCCTAGAAAGACCCTCAGTTTTTTGGCAGACTTTCAGAAATGATTTGTTATTACTTGCTTCTGCTTCCTATTACTAGAGAAAGTGACTGGCTGAGGGTAACAGCAGGCTTCAAAAACTCACTTCCAGTTTGTAACCTGATTGCCTTGCTATATATTTATTTCATAGAGTTTTAGTTGTTTTTGTTTTATGATATATGCTGAGATGGACAGCTATATAAATCAAATAAATAAAACCACTACAAGTCGTCTTCACTCAATGACCCTAATTGGAACCAGGAACTCCACTGCTGAGCAAAGCAGATGATAAATGGGAAATCATGTAACCATAACTGTGCTTTCCATCTAGAAAGAGACTAGTAAGTTGGTTGATTGCGCTGACAGCTCACAGGTGGGAACTGCTGACATCCCAGGCAAACATCTTACAATACTCTCTTGAAAACTCTTCCTCTCTAATAGCTCCACTTGTAGAGTGGCAAACCAAGTAATTTCTATAGGCCAGATCTCAAGGGTGGGATTCTAACAGTTCTGTCTGGCTCTACAGAACCAATAGCTCTGAAGAGCAGCAGACACAGAACCGGTTCTGTGTCTGCTGCTGTTTTGGCCCATGCGTCCGCCCGGGCTCTTACCTGTCCTTTATTTCCTGCTTTTTCAACCGCAGCTGCTTTGCACGGCACAGCTGCGGTTAAAAAAGCAGGAAAAAAGGGCTTTTCCAACCGCTGCGCACCCACACACAGTGCTGCTCAGCTGTCCAGGCAGCCTAGCAGGTCGTAAATTGCATGTGCGCGACTCGTGCATGTGCACGCAATGCAGAGCAACAGAACCAGTAGTTATACCGGTCGGATCCCATCCCTGCCAGCTCTCCTTTTCCTGACTCCACATACACAACAGAGAGTGATGAGGAAAGGATTTCAATAGAGTACTATGTACTTCTGCATATCAAAAGCAATGTGTTTGTGCATCAGCAATGGGAAAGAATCGGACAAAGGAGAGATTGCCTATAGAAATCGTTTTCTTTTCCCCATCCTCACAGCAGAAAGGAAAAGATTTCACAACAGTACTGTAAGCTATCTGTAATGGGCCTGCAGCTTTCAGATTCAACTTGCTTGCATGATTGCATTGGTTTCAATGTGTAGAAGAGTAAACAGCTTACTCTCTTACAATCCCTTCCGCTCCAAACTCTCTGCAGTGGGGGGAAGGGAGAAAAAAACACAAGGCGGGCATAGGACAATATGTCCTGAGTGTAATGCTAATCACTTGACTAAGCAATGCTGTGAAGATATTAAATGGTGGTAACTTGGCTGTAAAATTATTTTTAAGCACCTTTGTAACAATTGCTGAACAAGTGGTTGGTAAGAGAGGAATATCTGTATACTAAACTGGCTCTCCAAAAACCAATATTGTTTTACTGGCTTCCTAGTTTTTGATATGCAAACAACCAACAGATCCTGAAATTATTTTTTTTAGTGCCAAATATAAGGAAGCATAAACAAGATTCCACAAAGTTGAAGAGTCAGCTTCAGCAACAGAGAATAAAAAAGAGTACAACTTCACAATTTAGTATGCAAATATTTAATATTTTCCATCTTCTTCCAGAGTCTTAAAATTGCCATTTTGATTTTTTGTCAGCACTTCAAAATGATCCAAATACAGCAACCGTTATTTACTGGAGCTAGGAGCAAGAATCAATTTGTATTGCATTACAGAATTCACTAACCATAAAAAGAGTTCAACAGTGAACATTTTTCCAGAAAAAAAAAATTCAGAACATTTGACTGCATTCAGGCACTACAGCTAAATAATATATATTTTTTAAACTTGGCTCAATTTCCCTTAAACATGATTTGTACTAATTGTGGTTCACCATTTAAAAAAAAATCAGTTATGAAGGTTTGTTCTACCCCAAAGGATCCCTGTTTAGTAGAAACAGAAGTAAATTTCTAAAATAAAATAAAAAGCTGAAAGCTCTGCTTTTTTCTATGGTAGATTTGGAAATTCAAACCTTGATAAAGATCTTATCAACATTGGTTTTGAGAATGACTCACAATAAACCACAGGTTTATATGCCCCAAAAGAAAAAATATTAGAATATTCTGTATTCAGATTAAATGGGAAATTGCATGCAAGAGCCAAAATTGGACTTCCATCTCTTCTTGCACATAAAAGGAAAAGAGAAAGGAATTTTAGACCATCAGTATACTGCTACTCACTCCCTAACCTCCAATCTGAATGATTCTTCTGCTGTATTACGCTAAAAGTATTCAAGTTCACAACCAAATTCATGAAGTAAGTAGGGAGAGAAGAAACAGAATACAGGATCAGCTACTTTTTTTTTCCTGATTACATCAATTGTTTTCCCTTAAAGAAGTTACAATAGTTCTTCTTCTTAAAGGTCTCAAGTGATGGTGCTCCCACAGCTTCTTGTAACTAACAGTGCATTGTTGTTATTTCTAATCTAGATTAAAGTCACCATATGATTAGGGTTCAGGATTTCAATCCAGTAGCCATCAGGATCCTGAATAAAAGCCAGGCCTTTCATTTTACCTATAAAAGAGGAATATATAATTTTAATAAATTCTAGTGTAATTCTCATTTCAAGCCTTTACAAGGTGTGTATCCCAGGATAATGTAAGATCCAATCTAGGTCGGTCACCAGAATTTATTTATTTAGCGTATGGCAAATACATGGACATATAGTGGTTCAAATGTTAATGTCCAGTCCATCCAGCCATTCAAGGACAGGGTGGTCTATGTTGAGAAAATCAGACATTGGGCCAGTGTAAGCTCTTGATAGACATTGGGACACAATGTGATGGATATTTTGTTGAGGAGTACCACAGTCACCCTGAGGGGATTACCAGAAGTTCCCTGAAGATGGGCTCTAGCACAAGTCCGAAAGCTTGGAAGACAAAACATCTGGTCCGGTGACAGACCCAGATTGGATACTACTTTACAACTTTCCCAGATTAATATAATATCTTCGCCAAGATTTTTTTTCTAGTGACAAGATTTTTATCATTTATTTGCAAAAAGCAACCTGAAGATAGACAAATAGGTTGGAGATACACATCATGCTACCCTACATAATTATATACAATTTGACATGATTGATGTATTCACCCATTAATCTCAATACTACATACAAAGAAAAAGGCAATTATTGGTTCATAGCACACTCACCATCATCTGGTTTTTTCACAAATTTTACCCCCAGTTCTTCAAATCTTTTACAAGCTTTATTTACATCAGGAACAGCAATTCCAATGTGACCTAAAGAACAGCAGAATAATCAAAAACAGTGCTACATTTGGTAATATGTGAATGCCTTTCTTCATAAAGCATTGATGTAAACCATCCATTCTTTGAAAAACAGGAAATACAACCATTATTCCATAATACATACAGAAGAAATCTATTCATTGCATTCAAAACTACGTTTAAAGGGAACACCCCCAATCTGATGTGATCCAGAGGCATTGGCACAACTCCTATAATTTCTGTCCAGTTCTGAAACTCAATGATGGGATTATGGAAATTATAGTCCAATAAATTTAGAGATTATCAAGAAGATACAACTTTACTGAATGAACCAGAGTTTCAGTGTGGATCCTACATCTAGTTCAATCCCTAGCTTCTGCAGTATGCTAAACAAGCAGTCCCCAACTTTTTCGGCACCAGGGAACGGTTTCATG